GAATCTACAGTCCACCCGATTCCGAAGAAATCTCCCCGTGAGTTTGCACACCGATCCACGATGTTCTCAACGACCTGTGTTTCTCCCTTCTGTTCATCTCTGTCAGTCATTCACTCATTCATTTGTTCACCAAGTACCTGCTGACCGTCTTGGGGGACAGTGTGCCAAGACTCAGCAGGGAACAAAGTCCCTGCCCCGGCAGAGCGGGCGGTCCGGCTGCGGACAGACGATTCACAGACAGACAGACAGACACTAGGTGGGGGTGATAGGAGCTCCCAGGGGCGAGTAGGGCAGAGTGGTGGGGGGTAGGGCCGTACGGTCAGGGAAGGCCCCGTACCAAAGAAAGTTTCAGCACAGACTTGAGCGCCGTGAGGAAGCCAGTCGGCAAGCAGCTGTCTGGGGGCCCCCGTGTCCCGGGCAGCAGGACTGGCACGTGCAAAGGCCCCGGGTTGGGAGTGAGTCAGAGCAGCGTGCAGAGCAGGGGAGTGAGGGGGACAGTGCAGGGAGCATGCATCACAGAGGTGGCAGCCGGGCAGGTCACATAGGCAAAGACCCAGTTGAGACTGTATGTCTCCTTGTGGGATGAGGGGCCACGGGGGACTGTTTTGTTTCTTGTGATAAAATATACACGGCACGGATTTTACCGTCTTAACCGTGTCTAAGTGCCCGGCTCACCTGCATGAGGTGCGTTCCCTTTATTTCACAACCGTCACCAACATGTCTCTAGAGCTGCCCATCGTCCCCGACTGAACTTCTGTTCCCACGACACACGGACCCCCGGCCCCTCCCCCCGCCCCAGCGCCCATCCAGTGTCTGTCTCTACAGGTCTGACGACTCCACGGACCTCATAGGAGTGGGATCTCGCAGCATCTGCTCTTGTGACTGGCCCGGTTCCCTCAGCATCATGTCCCCAGGGCTGTAAGCAGGTGCCAGAATCTCCTCCCTGGGGCTCACTACTATTGCCTTGTGTGGATGGACCCCATCAGCAGGCGATGGACACGGGCGGTGTGGAGGCCGTGTGCACACATTTCCCTGCTTGCGGTGCCTCCGGGCGAGCACCAGAGGCAGGACAGCTGCTCACGTGGTGATTCTGTGCACGAAGCGTCCGACTTGCCCATGCTGTCGCCAACGCTTGTCTCCTGGGGTTTTTGTTTTCTAATAACCATCTTGGTGGCTGGGAGGTGTGTCGGTGAGGCTGCAGTGAGTGTCTCCTAAGCCACGAGTGCCGTGATGGCACCTGTGTCCCAACGACCGCACGGGCCGCTGGGTGGGAGGGGGCAGCTTGTCGCCAAGCCCAGAGGAGGCGGTGGAGGCATGGCCTCTGGGAGAGCAGCGGCATGTGGGACGTACTTGGACTCTGGATGTTGTTAGCGGGTAGAATCGACAGAATTTGCCAATCTTTTATGTGGGCCGTGGATGTGAAGCATCAACAATGACTTCAGGGGTGCAGGGGGTGCCCGGGGGACTCAGTCGGTGGCATGTCCGACTCTTGGTCTTGGCTCAGGTCATGATCTCATGGTTCATGAGTCCGAGCCCCGCGTGGGGTGCCGCACTGAGAGTTCGGAGCCTGCTTGGAATCCTCTCTCTCCCTCACTCTCTGCCCCTCCCCCACTCGCGCTCTCTGTCTCTCTCTTTCCAAATAAATAAGTAAACTAAAAAAATAAAATAAAATAAAGAATTACTGTAGAGGTTCTGGCTGAGCAGCTGGGAGAATGGCATGGTCACTCACGGGGACACACATGAACGCTGCGATCAGGGGTGTGTTAATCCCGAATGGGAGATGTTCTTGGCGTATTCTAGATCGAGAAGCTCTTGGCGTATTCTAGATCGAGATGTTCTCGGGGTATTCTAGATCCCATCCCCTTCACTTGCTGAGCCTTGAAGCTACATGCACCGAAAGAGGTAAAAAGATTTACATCTCAAATACGGCTGCTCCTCACCCTTCGTAAGTGAAATCTGTGATTCTTCTAATGATTTTGCTTGGGTTTTATTCGACATCTGCTTATTTTGTCCCCATGCCCTGGTGTGTCCCTTTCCAGCTTTCCTTTGTAAATTCATGCCACAAATGTGCTGTTCATTGTTATCTCCCATTGGTTACCCCCAAGTTATTTAAAGTGATACTTTTTTTTAGTTTTTTAACTTTTATTTATATTTGAGAGACAGAGAGAGACACAGCATGAGTGGAGGAGGGGCAGAGAGAGAGGGAGACACAGAATCCGAAGCGGGCTCCAGGCTCCGAGCCGTCAGCACGGAGCCCGACGCAGGGCTCGAACCCACGGACCGCGAGGTTGTGACCTGGGCTGAAGTCAGACCCTTAACCCATGAGGCCCCCCCCAGGGCGCCCCCTCAAGTGACGTTTTAAAGTTTGATGCATATGGTACAAAAGTCAGAATATGAAAAAGGGCAGTGGCCCATCTGCCTCGCGCCGCTTTAGATTCAGTCGTCCGCTCACAAGTAAGAAAAGTGTTCCGTAAGGGCTTACTACCTGACAAGTACCCTGATTTAGACCTTCAAGCACCACTGCCCGGAGTGGGGAGGAGGTCCTGCGTGGCTGTGCGCGTCTGCGGAGGGGGGTGCCAAATTTTCTGGGTCTTTGCCGCCAGAGTATCTCCTTCCAACATCTCAAGCCCGGTTGGACGAGGTGGGAAATGTCCTTCAGCTTTTTCTCTTCCGGCACCTGCTTTGCAGGTAGGAGTGTGGATGCACTTGGACCTCTTTCTTTCCCAGTACACTTGCCAGATTTAGCAAATAAAACCGCGTGCAATGTTTGGGACATGCTTCTTCTAGATGCTGGTGGTTGTACTTCTGAAAGTCATACGTAGCTGGCATCCTGGATTTTTCCTGGCAGCCGTACTTTAGAGTTTACCTGCTTGCTTTTTTCCCCCCATTTTTTAAAATTTAAATCCAAGGTAGTTACCATATCGTGTAATAGTGGTTTCAGGAATAGAATTTAGTGGTTCATCACTTACGTGATGACACCCAGTGCTCATCCCAAGTGCCCTCCTCAGTGCCCGTCACTTACTTAGCCCATCCCCCCACCCAAAGCCCCACCAGCATCCCTCAATGTGTTCTCTGTATTTAAGAGTTTTTCGGGGGCGCCTGGGTGGCGCAGTCGGTTAAGTGTCTGACTTCAGCCCGGTCACGATCTCGCGGTCCGTGAGTTTGAGCCCCGCATCAGGCTCTGGGCTGATGGCTCAGAGCCTGGAGCCTGTTTCCGATTCTGTGTCTCCCTCTCTCTCTGCTCCTCCCCCGTTCATGCTCTGTCTCTCTCTGTCCCAAAAATAAATAAACGTTGGAAAAATATATTAAAAAAAAAAAATTAAGAGTTTTTCATGGTTTGCCTCCCTCTCTGCCTTTGTCTTATTTGTGCTTCCCTTCCCTTATGTTCGACTGTTTTGTTTCTCAAATTCCACATGAGTGAAATCATAAACGATCTGTCTTCCTCTGACTAATTTCACTTAGCATCATACCCCCTAGTTCCATCCATGTTGTCACAAATGGCAAGATTTCATTCTTTTTCATCGCTGAGTAGTATTCCTGTGTGTGTGTGTGTGTGTGTGTGTGTGTGTGTGTGTGTACCACATCTTCTTGATCCATTCATCCATCAATGGACATTTGGGCTCTTTCCGTACTTTGGCTATTGTCGATAGTGCTGCTGTAAACATTGGGGTGCATGTGTCCCTTTGAAACAGCACACCTGTATCCCTTGGATAAGTACCTAGTAATGCAATTGCCGGGTCAGAGGGTAGTTCTATTTTTAATTTTTTGAGGAACCTCCATACCGTTCTCCAGAGTGGCTGCACCAGTTTGCGTTCCCGCCAAGAATGCAAAAGATATCCTCTCTCTCGGCATCCTCGCCAACATCTGTTGTTGCCTGAGTTGTCAATGTGAGCCATTCTGACAGGTGTCAGGTGGTATCTCAGTGTGGTTTTGATTTGTATTTCCCTGATGATGAGTGATGTGGAGCATCTTTTCATGTGTCTGCTGGGCATCTGGTTGTCTTCTTTGGAAAAGTGTCTGTTCATGTCTTTTGCCCATTTCTTCACCAGATTCTTTGCTGCTGTTTTCTCTCACTGCCTCTAGAATTTATTTATTGCCTTCCATGCTCGGAAGTGTCATCAGGCAGCGTCTGTGTGTGGGACTCTCCCAGGGCTCTGTCCACATGGAAAACGTGTCTTCAGTGGGGGAAATGCTTCTGCACTGTCTGTGGTTCCTTCTCCCCTGCAATGCTCACCCTCTGCACCCCTACAAGGTTTATCCACAGATTTGAACTCCTAGTCATTGTGTAATGACCTTCACCAAGTTAATTAGCTTCTGTTAGCTTCAGTTCCTGAATCATGAAATCAGCCTTAATAAACCAATCTCACAGCCGGGCATGAGGATTAAAGCCACCAGAAGGACACCAGGCCCCTTGCCGCCCCGACGGTGCCCTCCTGAACCAGAGCACGTGCTTCATCCTTCCCATTTGGGGTGTCACGTCTGCAGAAGGATGGCACTTCCCAGCCCCTGTGGTGCTTGGGGGCCGTGTGACTTGTTCCAGATAATTAACTGTGGGCAGATGTGCCCTGTGTCCCTGTCCGGCTGGAGTGTTTCATTGTCAGTGAAAGGCCCACCGGGCACTCTTGTCCTCACCCCCAGTAAATGACAACGTTCCAGACAGGGTCTGCTCTGTGGGTCAGATTCTGCCGTGGGGACAATCTAGGAAAGAGCCCCGCTGGCCTTCAACGGACATGCAGCGTGAGTGGGAAACAGACTTTTGTTTATGGCACTGAGCCGGGGGGATGTCCCTTGCTGCCACACATTCAGCCATGCTGACCAATCCACGGGGGTCGGCGGAAATCCCCTCCCCTTCGTCACCTTGCATCAACAAAGCGACTGCCCGTGAGTGTTTCCCAAGATGTTGCCAGCCTTGCCCAGACTGTCTGTCCTTTATTGACCAGGTTGATGGAAGTCCGGGGAGGACTGGCCACCCTCACGTTCGAGCTGGTTCTCAGCACTGATCAGCCCGGCCAAGGTGGAGTTGGCATCGGTGGGCCAGAAGATGGCATCCACAAAGCCACAAAGCAGAAGCTTCTCCTGCTGATGACAGAGGAACCGATGTCCTTATACTCCTGGCTGGTGACCCACATGTCCTTGAAGGTGGAAAGCGAGCACAGGATGGAACCCCCGACCCAGGCGCCGTACGTGGAGTTGGGGCAGGTGGATACCTGGATAGGGTGGAGGAGGCAGAGAGAGGGGAGAGCAGGAGAGGGAGGGGAGGGGGGCGAGGCAGGGGCGGAGGGATCAGAGGAGGGAGAGAAAGAAGCCGGAATCAAAACACTACTCCAAATTTGAGACATAAACGCCCTGAACACACCTCACGGATGGTCATTTCTTCCCTCCGTGCAAATGCAATGCATTCCAACCTTTACAGGTGCTTGTCGGTGCACGTGCCGACTGCCCGTAGCTTCAAACCACGGGACAAAAGGAGCAAGAGCGGGAAGGAGTCACCCTTGGCTCTGAGACTCACTCTGAGATCTACGGCACATCTCCGAGTTGGTTAAAGTCCATGTGGGAGGCATGGGTGTTTTGCAGAAAAATTAGAAAATACGGATAAGCAAACAAGAGTCACAAACAACCTCGAGAAACCCCTTGAACGTTGGGGTGCACAGACCTGGAGACTTGCACCGTGCCTCGCTCTGACCCCCGCATCGACACCTGCCCCCATGTGCGTTCCCCGCACCTTGGATTCGGAGAGGGGGCAGCCTCCGAGCCAGGTCAGGGCACTTCTGGGCTGGGAGGAGCCAGACATCCGTGCTCCCATCGCCAGGGGAGGACCACTGCTCTGCAAGGTTCGAGTCACCTGCGCAAGGTCAGACAGTTGTCATCCTGACGCGTTCACTGCCTTTCCTTGACGCCCATGGACACATCAGGAGAGGACAGCCTTGTTTTTGTAAAACGAGAAGGCAAACGCACGGCTACAGGGATCCGCGGGGAAAGGGGATCTGGGGCGAGGACTTGGAAAGTCCGGGTGGCAGTGGGGTGAGGGAGGATGAGTCACCAGAGTCAGTTACCGTCCCTCACCGGCTCTGTCACACCACAGAACCCTGCCTGGGGCGAAAACATCGGCTGCTGTTGGTTAAGAGAAAAAACGCTGCCGAAATGGTGAGTCAGGAGCGGGGAACAGAGCACCTTCAGGGCCAGGCATCAGGCAGAGAGGAGACAGTCAGTCCCAGGCACCCACATCCTCCGCCCGTCTTTGCTGCCACCCACAGGCTGTCACTGGGAAGAGTCACCTGTGACCTCTGCGTCTTCTCTGAACACACGCAAAAGCAAACAAAAGCGTGCCCAAAACTGGGACGGTTCACGCATTCAGAAGAACGCAAAACTACCAACAGAAAAACGGCCAAAGGCTTGGCATAAGCAAAAGGTTTAAGAAAGTTTAGAAAAGAAAATAAAGAGGGGGCGCCTGGGTGGCTCAGTCGGCTAAGCATCTGACGTCGGCTCAGGTCGTGATCTCACGGTCCGTGAGTTCAAGCCCCGCGTCGGGCTCTGCGCTGACGGCTCAGAGCCCGGAGCCTGCTTCGGATTCTGTGTCTCCCTCCCTCTCTGCCCCTCCCCTGCTCACTCCCTGTCTCTGTCTGTCTCAAAAAGAAAATAAAACATTTTTTAAAAATGATATAAAAAAGAAAATTAAGAGGAAAAACTCCCGACAGCAGGGAGACCCGCAGAAGTACTCACCTTCAGCAGGAATTAAAGAAACGCGAATTAGAGCCACCGTGTGCTTTCCATCCGGCCAGTTGGAAGAGCTTTAAAACCAGGGCCTCGTGCAGAAGGGGTGAAGGGGGGTGGGAGGCACGGGCTTCCGGTGGGGGAAGGCACAGGTGAACTCGGCCACCGTGGCACTGTCATCGGGCTGCCTGGTGGCGGGTGCCCCCCACACCCGCAGTGAGCACAACGTACCCGCTGGGTCTCACCCCTGAAGCTAACGTGATGTCGTGTGTCAGCCACCCTTCAGTTCCCAAAAAGGCAAAAGCAAAGAAAAGCATAGAAAAGCAACCGACGTCCCCGTGCCCGAGCGGACGGGCGCGAGCCGCTGTGCCCCTGTGCCGACCGGCCCGGAGGCCGGCGGCTCCCGGCCACAATCTGGCCATCTGTTCAAGTAGCCTGACGCCGAGCACACGTTTCTGGCTCAGGAAATCCACGTGTAGACGTGGATTCTAAGGCAGAAAAAAAAATTGTAAAGAAATAAGGGTAAATGGTGACCAGAGCTTTATCCCAAGAATCCTGTTGGGGCAGGATTTGGGTTGTCGGGAGGAAGGATCGTTTTGAAGGCTGGC